TTTTTTTTTTTCAATAATTGAACCAAACTTTAGAGTAATAGCAAACATATCATGGCTTAAAAAAAATTGCAAACCGAACTCAAATCTGTTCGAACAGCGAGTTCTGTGCCTACATTAGGACGCGTGTGATCACTTGCTCGGACACAGGCATATAACTCGCTGTCGGGTTTGAATTGCAATTTTTTAAAAGTTGTGATATGTTTGCAGTAAAGTGGTTTACATGGCAAATAGATTAAAGGTCATGGATTTATATGCAATTAGGCCCTTGGTATATTAGTTTTTTACTTTTTAGTTTAACAATTAATGAAATATAACTTAAAAAAAGAATAGCTTCATTCACCTGGTTCAATTATTGCTTTAGCTATATCTCAAAAATGTCACAAACCAAGGGCAAAATTTGCCCAACAAAAAAGAACAGCTTTAAAATGAGAAAGTAGTACACACTACAAAGTAACATGACATCTTCTGCCCAGCATTTCTACATTGAATAGCTAACTTTTTTTGCTCATACAATGAAAAAACATTGATGGCTTTGAGTCCTGTAAAATTTGAACCAGAAAACATATAAACTGTTACTCTTTTCTCCGACTCACTTCGGATAAATAATGAATGATAAAACTCGAAACTCTTCCAGGTCCCGCCCTAAATTCCATTGAATAAAAATCCATCTTCAACAAACTATTTATTCGTTTCGGCTTGGGCAATGAACTTGGTAACAACATAGCAATCGGGTGGTGTAATATTCGTGTAGTAGTTGTGGATCGTTTCTGTTATACCGAACCCAAATTTCTTGTAGAATTTGATGGCTTCTTCATTGTTGGTCTGCACGTGCAAGTAGATCTCACCAATGCTCTGCTTCGTGCAAATGTCAAGCACATGATTCAATAACTTTGTGCCTAGTACAAAAATCCAGCAATGAGATATTAAGTTCATGATAAACAAATTATTATTTCAAACAGCTTTGGCCATATGAGAGCTTATATAAAATCTGATATACTTGGATACTGTTGCAAGAAATCCAAAAGAAACAGCAAGAAAGGCTACCCCTGATGTCTTTACTTTCACTCGCAAACAAAACGTGCATTGGTCATTTGAAATTGCAAGTATTATTCCATTATGTCGCTTTTTCAAAAAAAGTGGTGATGATAGTTACAATATACCTCAGAGGTTTTGCTCAACTATCCAAAGAAATATACTTAAACCATTCAAGGTTACACATATTCCCTCGACCCGAGGTTCTTTATATTTTTATAAATGACTCATCAATGAAAAGCACCTCATAAAAACACATGTAAAGGAAATTTCAAGGACAGTATAGAATCAAAGAAAATTAAAATCAGGCACGGAAAAATAGGAAAGTCGTCGAGGATTTAAATATTGATTGAACAACAAAACCACAATTTATAAGAGCCCCACTGAACCAACGAAATATATATATGACTCAAATTCTGTTAATCATAAAGTTTAAAAAATGAAGCAAGCTGATAACTTACCAACACCTAACCCACGATATGGAGCCAAAACGCCCAATGTCATTATGTATACACGAATACCACCACTTTCCTTTTTCTCGATGCGGCATGCAATGGACCCAACACAAATGTCACAATAATAGGCTGCAAAGATAGAAATAACCATGTTCAGATATGTATGTAAAACCCAAACAGAGGGTTTTTTTTTACCTATGTTTGGTAAACCTAGCTGATAAGCTAGCTCATAGCTTTTAAGTGAATTTCGAGCTTATAGTTGATAGATTATGATTTATGGCTGAAAGGCTAGCTTATATGATAGAAGTGTGGTAAAATAGCTAATAAGCAGCTAGCTGAAATAAAAATTTGAATTGGCTTATTTGAAAAGCTACCCAAAGAAGTTATGATATAAGCTCGAGCTTTCTAAAGAAGCTCGTCCTACCAAACCAACTTTGAATACAAGACGCTTATAAGCTAACCAAATTATGCTTGCCCAACACAACCTTATAAGTTATTCAAACATACATTTTCCACTGTAATTCTGAAACTTTGTCTTAGTCATACAAGCACCATAGATTCCCCTTTTTCCATTTCCTGATTTTTTTTTCTTGCTTATACATTGTAGGACAATGTCGACATGTTCCACAAATAAGATCAATTAGTCTTCATTACATGATAATTTTTGCAGCTGATAAAGGACCACTGACAGTCCCTTGCCTGTAGCTGCTGGAAAAGGCATAAAGCCCGTACGCTTAATAACATAATGTAAAAGCAAGTATACCCCATGTTTACTACCTACAAACGGTCACTATCCTCTTCCTGGTCCATAGGTGGCATGAGCAAACGGCACAAATTATTCAGTTCAATTCTGGAACTTTTCGCAGTTATTCAACAACTAAAACAACATTTTACCAGAACCAAGGGTTAAAATGGCTGATCCTTTCCTACAAGTACATTAGCATGAACTCTGATAAAAATACTACTAATACCGAGTTGAATAAACATCTACAGAACCAAGATCTAAACTTCCAAGAAAAGAAAAATCCATTAACTCAGTCAAAAACACAATGTAATCCTATCAAAACCATGAAACAACAGCTCAATTCCTACCATTTAACATCAATTTGCCACTCAAAACACATATAAACAAGCGCAAGATTTTGACATCAATTGCCACTCAAAACACATTTAGATGTATCCATATAAGCAAATGCAAGATTTTGACATCAACAAAAATTCTATCGGATGGTTTTCTTATAGAGTCATCCATCACTTAATGTCCACAGGACAAGTGTCAATACACTATTTGCGGATAATTGTGGATGTCTTAATAAGCCGAGCCATTCGATGGCTCCACAGCAAAACTATTGACATCAATTGCCAATCAAAACAAATGTAAATACGATCGTACCCATTTAAGCAAACGCAAAAAATCAATTCCACTCAAAACACATGTAAACATGACAATATCCGGTATCCATGTAACCAAACGCAAGAGGCCTCATGACAACAGCAGAAACGAGAAAAACTACAGAAAGGGAACAGACCCAGAAAACGAAAACATACCTAATTTGGTAAATTCACCGGAGGCGAGGACATCGGCATAGTACTTGTCGTTGTACCGAACGGGGAAAAGGACAGAGTTGAGCTTCTTCAATTGCATCAAATTCTTGTCCCTCACGCTGTCCAGCGAAATCGACACCTCCCTGCCTGCCGACCCCATTTTTTGTTCTTCTCAACACCCAATTTCTTCAAAACGTAATCAATATCTGCAAACATGTCAGACAGAATTGAACCCAAACAAAATAAACAAAGCATGTGATTGATGGATTATTCATTAGTTTGAGTTACAGGCGTGTAGAGACAATTGGTTCTGTAAGTACATACGGAGAGAGAGAGAGAGAGAGAGAGAGATTACAGTGAGGTGGGGAAGACGAGCTGAGGAAAGTTCGCGAAGCTGAGGAGAATTTCGGGTATGAGAGCTTGATGTGACGGTAATATGAGGCTTTTGTATATTGGAATGACAATTTTGCCCATATATATGTCGATCTTATGAAAAAATTGAATCACTGTACAGTAATCACGGTTACAATGTGAATCACAATTAGTGATGTAAATGAACGGGATCGAGCCGAGCTTGAGCTGTTTAAGCTCGTGTTCGTTTATGTTCGAACAATGTTTGTGTTCGTTCGTATTTTTTGAGCAAAAAATTGTGTTGGAGCCCATTCGTTTAAATGTTCGTCAAAGCTCGAGTTCGTTTGCGTACAAATAATTTAATACATAATTTTTTTAAGTATGTTTGATTAACTCGAAATTAGTTCGTTCGTTCAAACTCGAAAATAAAAGAATAAACTAAAAATATTTTTATATTTTAGATTTTTTATTAAAAATATTATGTAAATATATAAAAATATATATATATTAAATTTTGTTCGCGAACATAATCGAACGTTCACGAACGAGCTCGAGTTCGTTCGATTATTGAACGAGCCTAATTTTTCTATTCAAACTTGACCTTATTAACAAACGAACGAACTTTTGTCAAACATGAACAAAATCAAACGAGCTTTTATTCGCGAATGTTCGGTTCTTTTACAACTATTCACCAGTATAGAGTGCGTACATATGTGTGTTGGAATAATTGGAAAATATGTATGTTAATGTAACAATTAAAAAAAAAAAAG